ATACTTGTATTTCAGTAATACCAGTATGTCAGTAATACCTGTATGTCAGTTATACCAGTATATCAGTAATACCTGTATGTCAGTAATACCTGTATGTCAGTAATACCTGTATGTCAGTAATACCAGTATGTCAGTAACACCAGTATGTCAGTAATACCAGTATGTCAGTAATATCAGTATGTCAGAAATACCTGTATGTTAGTAATACCTTTATATCAGTAATACCTGTATCTTAGTAATACCTGTATATCAGTAATACCTGTATGTCAGTAATACCTGTATATCAGTTATACCTGTGTGTCAGTAATACCTATATGTCAGTAATGCCTATATGTCAGTAATACCTGTATGTCAGTAATACCTGTATGTCAGTAATATCTGTATCTCAGTAATACCTGTACGTCAGTAATACCTGTATGTCAGTAATACCTGTATGTCAGTAATACCTGTATATGAGTAATACCTGTGTGTCAGTAATACCTATATGTCAGTAATACCTATATGTCAGTAATACCTGTATGTCAGTAATACCTGTAAGTCAGTAATACCTGTATGTCAGTAATACCTGTATATCAGTTATACCAGTATGTCAGTTATACCAGTATATCAGTAATACTTTCAATTAGTAATACCAGTATGTCAGTAATACATGTATATCAGTTATACCTGTGTGTCAGTAATACCTATATGTCAGTAATACCTATATGTCAGCAATACCTGTATGTCAGTAATACCTGTATGTCAGTAATACCTGTATGTCAGTAATACTTGTGTGTCAGTTATACCTGTATATCAGTAATACATGTGTGTCAGTAATACCTGTATGTCAGTAATACCTGTATATCAGTTATACCTGTGTGTCAGTAATACCTATATGTCAGTAATACCTATATGTCAGTAATACCTGTATGTCAGTAATACCTGTAAGTCAGTAATACCTGTGTGTCAGTAATACATGTGTGTCAGTAATACCTGTATGTCAGTTATACCTGTATATCAGTAATACCTTTATATCAGTAATATCTGTATGTCAGTAATATCTGTATGTCAGTAATATATGTATGTCAGAAAAACCTGTATGTCAGTAATACCTGTATATCAGTAATACCAGTAAGTCTGTAAATGCAGTATGTCAGTAATAATTGTATGGCAGTAATACTAGTGTGTTAGTAATGCCCCCTTCACATACACTGATTTTTCTTACGAGTCCTTACGGATCGCCAGCTCGTAGTCAGTCGCAAGCATCCGTAAAAAAACTCGCTGGTATCCGTAAATAACTCGTCACTACTCGCAACAACTCGCAGACACTCTTAAGGATCCGTGGAAAGAGAGGCAAATTTTTTGACATGTCAAAAATCATCTTACGATTGTCCACGGATTGATTTTTTTCGTAAATAACTCGTAACAATCCGTAAGTATCGTAAACCGCTCGCAACAACACGTAACCCTCCGTAAACTGCTCGCAAGAATCCGTAAATGACTCGTAACAATATTTTTTTACGATTTGTTACGATTAGTTTAGGATTTGTTTACGGATTATTTACGGATTATTACGAGCGCTTACGTGTTGTTTACGATTTCATTCGGGTCGTGTTACGATGGCTTTACGGATTGTTACGAGTTATTGCGAGCACTTTAAGTGTAGTTGCGAGCTCTTTACGAATAGATACGTATACTTTACGTAGTCTTACGTATTGTTTACGATTTGGGAAAAGGTATAAAAACTGCAAAATAGAACACTTCATTTTCAGTTGTTATTGAGAAGTCATAGAAGTCACATTTCTGCATATCTACTCAACAATATCTACAAGCATGGCTCCAAAGAAAATGGCAGTCAACAAGAAGTCTCCAGTTCTTCGAAAACCTCCGCGGAAGAAGAGGACACGCTCGCCTTCCCCTGAACCACCACCGCAGCTAGACCCTGTTGATGTAGAAGACACTGAAGACACTGAAATTGTCTCTCTGGATGTCAGTTGTCGAATGATGATACATTGAGATTTGCAGAATTTATATATTTTTGGACAAAAAATCGAAAGTACTCGTAAATACTCGTAACTAACTCGTAACTATTCGTAACAACACGTAAACAGGTCGTAACTAACACGTAAAAGCTTCGATGAATAGTAACATTCCGTAATATACTCGTAACAATCCGTAAAAATCTCTTAAAATGCCCGTAAGTTGCTCGTAGTTATCCATGACAACTGGTAACAAATCGTTGAATTATGCCGTAAATACATCGTAATAACTCGTAATAATCCGCAATAAACCGTAAAAAGCTCGTAATAACTCGTAACAACCCCCGTGAATTTGTGCGTATCGTGAATCCGTAAGGACTCGTAAGAAAAACCCGTGTATGTGAAGGGGGCATGCTACCAGTATCTAACTAATACCAATGTCAATATTACCTGAATGGCTCACATTGGAACCTAACTCGGGACTTCGACGTGACGAGCGAACGTTTTAACCACTAGGCTACCATTGAGTGTGGACATGGATGACCTAGGTATAGAGTGAGTGAGTGAGGTCTTACGCCGCTTTTAGCAATATTCCAGCAACATCACGGCGGGGGACACCAGAAAATGGCTTCACACATTGTACCCATGTCGGGAATTGAACCCGGGTCTTCGGCGTGACGAGTGAACGCTTAAACCACTAGGCTACCCGACCGCCCCACCTGGGTATAGAAGACGCCGCAGTTAGCTGCTCAGAGCTGCGTCCATGAGACGTGCTAGAAACCTATAATCGTTGGTTCGAATCTCGGTTCGCCCTGGTCATGTTACTAGAATTGTCAGCACTGCAGCTGTGCTCGTGGATTTCACCAAAGTAACGTCTAAGACCTGAAACCCTGAATCACTTCGGGCTTTCCTCCCACATTGAGCAGACACGTCGTGATATAACTGAAATACTGTTCAAAGCGCGTTCAATCACACTCCCTCACTCACAATTTAACGCATGGGGGTCTCACAGATGTTTCAATGTATGCTTACAAGTATCGCATTTGTGAAGGGCAATTATCCTTGTCACTTGGAGAGCCATGTTATTAGATGGCATGTGAGTACTCCCTCGGACACCGAATCTGAAGTAGCAATTGTTTCATTACCTATCGCTCGTTTCCGCAACATTTCCTTAACTGGCTTATTTATAACGTTTATTCATTGTAAAATAAAATTATAAAATAAAAACAACATGTTACCAAAGGATATTCAAATTATTTTCAATCAAAACAGCATACCCCTAAAATAATGAATCAGGGGAGGTAACTCAATACATTTACATTTCTGTGAGTAAAGTACAATTAGCCGCGAGTCAAAGGGACGTTACCGCAATACAAATACACGCAGTTACATGCGCGTCCGGTATGCGCATGAACAATGGTATCCAACGTCTTTAACGTTAGTTAACTAATTTGGTGAATTATACTTCATGATCAGTTGCAACACAGGGTTGCAGGGTACATTGAGAGACAAACCAACATTTCGTAGTCATTAAATACTTTGGCGAAACCCGTGTCTGTGGGAATGGCGTTATCACACACAAGGGGCATAGTCAGGTACAGTAAACTACGGTTATAACGAACACACTTATAACGAACTGACGGATATAACGAACTTACAATTTGGTCCCGACTATTTGCTGTAGTTATGCTGTATATATGTTTATAACGAACTACGGTTATAACGAACTAAAATTAGTAGTCCCTTTGAGTTCGTTATAACCGTAGTTTGATGTACAATGTGGTATCCGCCCACATGCGGATCCTGGCGCAGTCAAGAGCGACGACTTTACAACAAACGCTGCAGCAACTTCGCTCTGTACTTTGTTTGAGTCAAGAAGACATCACTGTGGAATTTTAAATGCTTTTATTCTTTCAATGCCATACAGTTACAAGTGAGCAAATTTCCAAATTGAAAATCAATATTGCAACATTCGTGGATGGATTTCTTTCCATCGCTTTATAAAAATCATCAGAACATTACAAGCTCGAGGGGATTTCGGGTTAGAATAGGTTCACATCGACATCAATCTCATTAAAAATCAAAACTTACTTCTCGCTGCCACTGCACAAACAGAGGATATCCCTTTAAGGGTCACGTCGGAACGACCCTTCGGAAACTTTGACCGACCAATGAAATGACTAACAAGAAGTCGACATTAGCCAATCAGAAAGTAGCTGGCTTCCATTCCTGACTAAGCTTTGGAATATATCGATTTAAAATTTGAAAACTGAACAAAAGAAAATTGTGGAAGGTCTAATGGATGCCCGAGATTGTCTGCACTTAATTCTCAAGGGCTGTGGAAGGTTCTTCCGTTTCAAATAAATGTTTGTGACATTGAAGCGAGAGACAGACAATGATTTTGAACGGAATCAGTCGTTTAGCCCGCAACTGTCGTTATGAATGTCGTCGCATTTTGTACTTGTATTGTACATGTTCTTCTTATGCCGTGAAACACGGCCTGAAGGTATAAAAGTTCAGTTCATAAAAACTTAACCATTTCGAGGTTGCATAATTTGAACACACAACCCGACTGTCACTTTCCCGATCTGGTAAGCGGCGCTCTGATTGGTCGGATAAAGGGTCGCTCGGACGTGGGATTGGGATGTCCTCATATCTTTGTTCAGCGGCAGACATTAACCTTTGCAGATCGTAAGAGGCGACCAAACAGATAGAGTAGGGTGGTTAGACCTTGTGATTTGGTTGATTATGTGCCCTCGAACTAGATCGTCTTGTCCAGACTAGATTATTTACAGGCCGCCGTCATGTAGCTGGAGTGTTGCTGATTGCGGCGTTAAACAACAAACAAACAACAAACAACATGAACAATTGATATGCTGCATGTGTTTGTGATCGGTGCAAAGGATGGAGAAGGATGGGGAAGGATGGAGAAGGATGGGGAAACATGGAGAAGGATGGAGAAGGATGGGGAAGGATGGAGAAGGATGGGGAAGGATGGAGAAGGATGGAGAAGGATGGAGAAGGATGGGGATGGATGGGGAAGGATGAGAAGGAAGGATGGAGAAGGATGGAGAAGGTTCGGGAAGGATGGAGAAGGATGGAGAAGGATGGAGAAGGATGGGGAAGGATGGAGAAGGATGAGGATGGATGGAGAAGGATGTGTTTCTGAAGTGCATGAATGTTATCTTTATCAACAATTGCTGATTTCTGACATTGGGAGCTGACAAACAAACGCTCGAAAACTGCTACAGTTGAAGTCATGCCAACGGTTTGGTCCACCATAATGGCGAATAATGAGACAGCTTTGAATCGTGTCACCTGCTGCAGGTTGTCCGTCGTCCCAGAAGAAGCGGTTGACCACAGAACCATTTGACCACACCCAGGTTCCCTCCGTCTGTCTGTCAGAGGCATCCGACCAAACTGCACCACCTACAAAACAGTTCTTGGGTGAGTAGCGATTTACGTTCTTCAAAACCCATTTTCTCCTCATGAACATTAAGTGGAACACTGTATGGCTCTACCACTCTTCCACTTAACTCATACGTCTCTTGCTCAAAAGTTGTTTGATTCAAGGCGTCAGTAAAGCTTTCAAAAGGCTTATTATTGCTGACATGAAGATGACCCTTCCAAATTTGAAGCATCAGTGACAACAAAAATGCCAGATGAAATTCTATTCTAACAGGACCGCCTCTAGTAGTAGAGCGTCCGCCCGGAGAGCGGAAGGTCCGGGGTTCGATCCCCGACCGCGTGATACCAAAAGACGTTAAAAGGTGGTACTTGTTGTTACCCTGTCTGGCGCTCGGCATTAAGGGGCTAAAACAAGGACTGGTCGGCTCGGAGTCAGTATACTGTATCTGAGTGGGGTATTCATGTTAAACTGCGGCATGGTATCTCAGTGAGCTAGCACTATAAATCGGCATCAGTCCGTACTAGTACAAGCAGCCACACAAACACACACACGTACATGCACGTCGCTATACAAGTGCAATAATCTTGGACGCGACGTTAAACCCCATTTCATCTCACCTCTATTCGAACACCGATGTGTTATCTACTTGACTTCTAAGGCGCCGCGATTCACTGTGCAGAGTTGCGTCCCTTGGGCACGCCAGAAACCTATGATTGTGGGTTCGAATCCCGGTTCGCCCCGATTATGTTTCTAGGTTTCTTTGTCAGCACCATACCCGTGCTCGTGGGTTTCACCGAAGTGGTAAACGTCTGAGGCCTGCATCACTTCGGGCTTTCCTCCCACATTAAGCTGACACGCCGCGATAAAACTGGAATACTGTAAAAAGCGGCGTTAAACCAAACTCACTCACTCATAAACACATGCTCGTGATATACACAGAGTCGGAATCGTATAACGGAGTCTGCTGTTAGTAGAGGTGTCTTATAATTATGGACATCTTTGTTGACGCTTCTATCTACAACGTATAACCTGGATGCATTTGAAATAGTCATCATGCTATCAACCACTTGTTGGAACGCCACCAAATAGCTGACCTTGGCATTATCCACCCATTATTTTCTGTGTTATTCAGTAAAAACAGTTAGGACGAAAGATGAAGGTTGGTGGCAAACCGATGTCAAAGTCGTTGACAGCAATCTCTAATCTGACAAATGTAATACACTACATATCATGATCTTGTCAAATAAGGTGTTCGGATTACCAATGCCCATTAATGATATTTTAAATGTTCTTGTTTCGAATGTGGCAGTGTATCTTATTGCTTAACAACGATTGTAACTGTGCTACATTATTTCTGTTCATTGCATTGTTTTGGGGCAGTGATCAGTCGTCAGGAATGTAGTGCTTTTTAATCTATGCGGTCATCAGGAAGTTACTACATTTAGGTGCTAGTGCAATGTGTAAACGGCGAGACTGGTCCCGCATTGTATATAACCTTACTGCATCATCTGGAAAGTTCTGGAAGCTGGTTAGACTATATATATACTGGGAAAAGAGTGTGCATTCCTCATCTCTCACACATTTGGTCCCTCACTCACACACAGTTTTATCGCTCTGAACCCAGCCTTCACGTGAGTATCGCTCATCATCCCTGATTCCCTGCTTTGCTAATCTCGGAGCTTGACCACAGTTGCCGCTGGGTGAATATATATTGTTGGCACTGACCTTTGCTATCACCACTGTATTTTTGTATTTGAAAGTGACCACTGCCATCTTATCATATATCGCCATTGATTATTGTACTACCACTCTGTTGTTAACTTCCATTGTAATTGCTGTGTAGTAATTTGATTTGATTTCTAACCAAGTGAAATTGTAATACAATTGTTAATTATGTACCATTTGTTGGTTGTTTGTTCGTTTCACAATTGGCTCTTTTACGTACAGATTTCTGGCTTAACACATTGTAGACAGGTAACACGAAGAATTACATTGTCCCTCTGAGGGGGTACAGCAAGACCATGTCATTCAAAGTATCTTTATATCTACGAGTGATTTAATCCTAGAACATTTTATAATTCCAATTTTCACACGAAGAATTAATTACAATGTCCCTCTGAGAGGGTATAGCAAGACCATGTCATTCAAAGTATCTTTATATCTACCAGTGATATAATCATAGAACATTTTATAATTCCAATTTTCACACGAAGAATTAATTACAATGTCCCTCTGAGAGGGTATAGCAAGACCATGTCATTCAAAGTATCTTTATATCTACGAGTGATATAATCATAGAACATTTTATAATTCCAATTTTCACACGAAGAATTAATTACAATGTCCCTCTGAGAGGGTATAGCAAGACCATGTCATTCAAAGTATCTCTATATCTACCAGTGACGTAATCCTAGAACATTTTATAATTCCAATTTTCTAGGGGAATGGTGTACATCCTGCTGGGGATACCAACGATCTTAGTAAAGTGACCTAACTTTGGCTGCTGGCGATATATAGCTGGCGATATATTGTGTCTCAATATGGCTGAAATACTGCCGATGTGATTTAATATTGTAACTCTCACTCACTCTCTCACTCACTCGAACAAATCAGATGTTTGGTACTGACCAAGGTTTTCTGCGACAGCGTTCATGAACATGTTCATGTCTGCGTTGTCCACTCTGCTGAGGTGTCCGGTGTCAGTCACGCACGTACTCTTAGCAACGAACCAGGTCCTCTTTGTCTCGTACAGCTTGTAGCACAGGTTCAGTCGACGGTGCCACGTGTAGCCATTGCCACAGGCCACTAAAGTCAAAATATGTCAACAATATAAAAACAAATGTCTAGCGACATAAATACACAATGCTGAAGATAAAACAAAATAAAAATCCAGCGTATGTCATCAGCTTCTGATACACACTAGAATCCAGTGAAGAACCGGGTGAGAATAGGTCTTCAGCAACCCAAGCCTGTTGTAAGAGGCGACTAAGGGCTTCGGATGGTCAGGCTCGCTGCCCTGGTTGATGCATGTCATCGTATCCCAATTGCGCAGACAGATGCTCATGATGTCAGTCACTGAATTGTCTGATTCAGACTTGATTATTTACAGACTGTCGTCTAATAGCTGGAATATTGCGGAGTACAGCGTTAAACAACAAACAAATGAACAAACAAACAAACAGTACGTCCTGTATACGATATGTAGTAAAAAACACTGAGATGTGTTTGTTTGTTGTTTTACGCGGCGGTATGTAAATAATGGAGGCTGCACCAGATTAAAACGGACATGACAGATTTGAACTACGACTGTGTACAACTGAATAGGTCATGCTGCTAGGAAAAGATAAAGGTTCGTTTTGTTATTTTTGTAACAGGTGTCTGTGTGTGGAAGCGTAATAGAGCTTTCAAAAAAACCGATTATCATCGACATAGATAATAATATCGTCGTAGATGTAAACGTCGTCTACGTAGAGTTAGGTTTATTCTACATTTATGTAAATATCGTCTACGTAGATGAAGGAATAATCTACGCAGATGTAATTATCGTTTACGTAGATGAATGAATGTTACATTAAGACGCTAGCATGACCACCAGGAACATCGACGCAGTTGAAATAAATATAAAACGTCAACACCGGAAAAAAACCAGTTTCGATCATCCATCCAAAAGGATTCCATTTGTCACAAAAAGCAAAATATGGGTGAACATAATATGGATGGATCACTGGCCTGCCCTACCGGCAGCACCCACCACTCGCAAATTTGCTGAAAAAGTGTTTGTTTGTTGCCTGAGGCGGCACACGAGTACTCCTGTCATGAGACAGCGGCCTAACACGGATCCGAAACAACGTAATGTACTCCTGTCATGAGACAGCGGCCTAACACGGATCCGAAACAACGTAATGTACTCCTATCATGAGACAGCGGCCTAACACGGATCCGAAACAACGTAATGTACTCCTGTCATGAGACAGCGGCCCAACACGGATCCGAAACAACGTAATGTACTTCGAAAATCTTGAATCCACTGTGCCCGCCGAACCACTTTACCATATAGTTTGTATTGTATAGTATACTTTACATCCCAGTTTGACAGTTGCGGAGCAATTGGGCCGGGGTAAAATATGTCTTTCTAAATTGAATTGTGTTTGTTCCTAGTCATTGGGTCTGGTATCTCAGTTGGCTAGCACTATAATCAATCCGGACGAGTAAAAGCAGCCAGCTAACCCACACCCACGACAAAAAAACCAACAACAGCGCCCCCCTAAAAACAAACAAACAAACAAACAAACAAACAAACAACCAACAAACAAAACAAACAAACAAAACAGCAACAACAGCCCCACCCTTCGGATAACACACACACACACGCACGCACACACACACACACACACACACTCACACACACGCACGCATGCACGCACGCACGCACGCACACACACAGACACGAACAAGTAATCTAGAAGGCTACATTTAACTCCACATAACATTGCCACAGAGGGTGATGATACCTGTTGTCCAGATGAAGTACTGCGTCCCGTCAGCTGCAGCAGTCAGCTGGCTGTCTCCATACACATCCGGGCCATGCTGACAGAGATGGGTGTTGCTATTGTAGAACACTGAAGAGCAGTTGACCTGCATGTAGCATTTAGAAATACAGTCCAGTTTGGAGGTAACCCACACATCGGTTAGTGGAGACGTGAGAAACGTGCCCTTCAACAGCATCGACATCCCCAACACGGCCGCCATAACTGACAACTACCTCACCGGCGGTTCCGACGGACTTAAACCGTTACGTCTTCGTCAATAAAGTATCTCCACAGATTTATCCTTCTCATTCTTTGAAGCGTGATACGTTAGATAAACAAGCTGGTTAACAAGTAAGCTTTACCTCGGAACCAAGCCACAGGTTATGAAACAGAAATTAATTGGTTAATTATTTTGACGGAACTGTCTTCAAGAATCGACCTAGATTGTGAATAATTTACGTAAGGATATTTGGAGACAGAAAACTGTTTCAGTTGAATAGATCTGTGTATCATGACAGCTAACAATCTGGTTTGTATAAAACACTTGAAACTGAATCGATGTCTTGGTAGGGTTGCTGGACATTAACAAAACTCATTATCTACACTCTAAACTACAGAGGCAAAAGTAGTTGATCGTAATTAATTGACGTCAGAAAATTATAAATTATTTTGATGATATGGATTATGTGGCTCTGCAGGTTGATCAATAGTCTACCCAAGTTCACAACAAACCACGAGTGGGGTGGCCTAGTGCTTAAAACTTCTGGTGTACCCTGTCCTGACACCGCTGGAACGTTGTCCGGAGTTGGACAGCTGGTATACGTTCCGTTGCTCAATGTAGAGTGAGGGAGGTCAGTCCACAACAAACCACGAGTGGGGTGGCCCAGTGCTTAAAACTTCTGGTGTACCCTCTAGTGACACCGCTGGAACGTTGTCCGGAGTTGGACAGCTGGTATACGTTCCGTTGCTCAATGTAGAGTGAGGGAGGTCAGTCCACAACAAACCACATGTGGGGTGGCCCAGTGCTTAAAACTTCTGGTGTACCCTATAGTGACACCGCTGGAACGTTGTCCGGAGTTGGACAGCTGGTATACGTTCCGTTGCTCAATGTAAAGTGAGGAAGTTCAGTGTTATGGCTGTGAGCAGTATTCCAGTTATATGTGAATGTATCGGGTCGTTGGTGAGTGGAACAACATTGAAAAAATGCCTCCCTCACCCGATAATATATACTGATTCGTCCCAAAAAGATTAATGGCGACGAAGCGATAGACTCGTCACCATTCGCTCTTTTCCGTAACCTACAAGAAGACAGGGCCCTGTTCCACAAAGCGATCTTAGCGCTACGATTGTCGTAAGTTAGTGTTAAAGAATGGGAGTTACGATCGACTTAGGGCTAAGATCACTTTGTGGAACGGGGCCCTGTTTCGCAATGTTATGTGCGAAAAAAGGACAAATCAATCAGAATGCGCGTAGTACACAAGAGGGGCACGAGTCGCTATTCAGCTTGTGCCGGAATAACACGAGTTGGTCACGAATGGAACCGACACTGAACGATAAGTTACTACTGAGGACGAGAACAAGGTAATATAGGACATGCACAAGGTGATATAGAATATGAACAAGGAGATATAGGATGTGAACAAGGTAATATAGGATGTGAACAATGTGATATAAGATGTGAACAAGGTAATATAGGACATGAACAAGGTAATATAGGACGTGCACAAGGTAATATAGGACGTGAACAATGTGATATAAGATGTGAACAAGGTAATATAGGATGTGAACAAGGCAATATAGGATGTGATCAAGGTGATATAAGATGTGAACAAGGCAATATAGGTTGTGAACAAGGTGATATAGGATGTGAACAATGTGATATAAGATGTGAACAAGGAGATATAGGATGTGAACAAGGTAATATAGGATGTGAACAATGTGATATAAGATGTGAACAAGGTAATAAGGATGTGAACAAGGCAATATAGGATGTGAACAAGGTGATATAAGATGTGAACAAGGCAATATAGGATGTGAACAAGGTGCTATAGGATGTGAACAAGGTGATATAAGATGTGAACAAGGCAATATAGGATGTGAACAATGTGATATAAGATGTAAACAAGGTAATATAGGATGTGAACAAGGAAATATAGGATGTGAACAAGGAGATATAGGATGTGAACAAGGCAATATAGGATGTGAACAAGGTGATATAGGATGTGAACAAGGTGATATAAGATGTGAACAAGGCAATATAGGATGTGAACAATGTGATATAAGATGTGAACAAGGTAATATAGGATGTGAACAAGGTAATATAGGATGTGAACAAGGAGATATAGGATGTGAACAAGGCAATATAGGATGTGAACAAGGAGATATAAGATGTGAACAAGGAGATATAAGATGTGAACAAGGCAATATAGGATGTGAACAAGGTGATATAGGATGTGAACAAGGTGATATAAGATGTGAACAAGGTGATATAGGATGTGAACAAGGAGATATAGGATGTGACGCGGAATAATACACTTCCATTCAGATTGCAGTCGAGACATGTACAAGGTATTAAACGACAAGGAATATGTGAACAAGATACTCGTAGTATTGGGGATCTCCGACCTTTAGGACGCGGAATAATACACTTCCATTCACATTGCAGTCGACACATGTACAAGGTATTGAACGACAAGGAAAATGTGAACAAGATAATATTGGGGGTCTCCGACCTTTAGGACGCGGAACAATACACTGCCATTCACATTGCAGTCGATACATGTACAACAACAAGGAGTGAGTGAGTGAGTTGGGTTTTACGCCGCTTTAAACAGAATTCCAGTTATATCGCTGCGTGTCAGCTCAATGTGGGAGGAAAGCCCGAAGTGATGCAGGTCTCAGGCGTTAACCACTTCAGTGAAACCCACGAGCACGGGTATGGTGCTGACAAACCTAGAAACCTAATCGGGGCATACCGGGATTCGAACCCACAATCATAGGTTTCTGGCGTGCCCAAGGGACGCAACTCTGCACAGCGAATCGCGGCGCCTTAGACGAATGGGCCACCCGTGCCCCCACAACGACAAGGAAAATGAAACACAGCATATTAGTTGAGATGGATTTATTGTCCAAAATATTTTGATGACCTTTCGCTGCAAGATTTAAATGTGATCTTGTGAAAGACTAAACGGCTAGCCTCTGTCGTTTTGTAAATAATTAATCAACATTGATGAACTATTTTCTCACAGGGCATACTCATGGGAAGAAATAAGGGAACGCACAACGTAATAGAAAGAATGTTTTCACATTTGACGTCGCATCGTCAATATTACAGCCAAGTAGCGACTTGTTACCTAAGACAATTTACCCTTGTCGTCAGCGTTTCGTGCCAACAGTTGGCGAACGTTAGTATTTTGTGTCAATTCTGGATGTACACGTTCTCTTATTTTTTGCCATCAGTATAACTATCAAACAGAGACAAGACTCACTTTAATTTGACACACAATACAATCAGGCACTTAATGTTTCGAAACTCCTGTGACGTCAAATCCGGTTATGAGGAAGTCAACGGCTGTGACAATGTGTCATATTCAACAAATGAAATAGATAACGAATTTATAACAGTGCATAACACAGTACATATAACACTTAGTACAATTTTGTGTACTCTGCATCTTAATACGAGCTCAATACGTCATACACATGACACACGCCTTGATTTAACAAAACAAAGTGCATGTATACTACTCGAAAGAAGTTAAAGAACACCCTATGTTTCTATATGAATAGAGGCAATCTGGCATAATAAGTGGGTATTGCAATCTTGGTTGTTCCTTAACTTGTTTTGAGTACTATATATTTGTTCCTTCACGGGATACTTCGACATAAGAGATCAGTGGTACAAATATACTCGTACAACCCGATAGTCATATCAATGGTCCACACATCACAGTGTACAGCCGTACTGGAAGTCCCGGAGTATAGAGGATATACATCGATGTGACTGTAAAGCGCAGTGCCGATATTAGACCAGCTACAGATGTAAGACCATATTACCTATATTAGACCATATTACCTATATAAGACCATAACACCTATATTAGACCAGCTACAGATTTTAGACCATATTACCTATATCGGACCATATTACCTATATTAGACCAGCTACAGATGTAAGACCATATTACCTATATTAGACCAGCTACAGATGTTAGACCATATTACCTATATTAGACCATATTACTTATATTAGACCAGCTACAGATGTTAGACTTTATTACCTATATTAGACCATATACCGATTTTAGATAATGTATATCAATATGACACTATATTACCTGCATTAGATCATATCACCCATATTATTAGACCATATTACCAATATTTGATCACAGTAACGATGTAAGACAATGTTACCGATATTAGATCATATTACCTTCATCAGACTATATTACCGTTATGAGACCATATCACCGGCACTACACCATATTACGGATATAAGACCATATTACCGGCACTACACCATATAATATGGCATATTACCGATATAAGACCATATTACCGACACTTGACCATAGCACCTACAGGGCTACAAAGTTACACCGACGTAAACGCTTCATGCGGCAACCAGTCAGATATATGCCCCATCTGGGCGCTCAACTAGTCAGATATATCCCCTCTCTGGGCGCTCAACCAGTCAGATATATCCCCCATCTGGGCGCTCAACTAGTCAGATATATCCCCCATCTGGGCGCCTAACCAGTCACATATATCCCCCATCTGGGCGCTCAACCAGTCACATATATCCCCTCTCTGGGCGCTCAACTAGTCAGATATATCCCCCATCTGGGCGCTCAACCAGTCACATATATCCCCCATCTGGGCGCTGAAACAGTCACATATATCCCTCATCTGGGCGCCTAAACAGTCACATATATCCCCCATCTGGGCGCTCAACCAGTCACATCTATCCCCCATCTGGGCGCTCAAACAGTCACATATATCCCTCATCTGGGCGCCTAAACAGTCACATATATCCCCCATCTGGGCGCCTAACCAGTCACATATATCCCCCATCTGGGCGCTTAACCAGTCACATCTATCCCCCATCTGGGCGCTAAACTAGTGAGATATATCCCCTCTCTGGGCGCTCAACCAGTCAGATATATCCCCCATCTGAGCGCTAAACTAGTGAGATATATCCCCTCTCTGGGCGCTCAACTAGTCAGATATATCCCCCATCTGAGCGCTAAACTAGTGAGATATATCCCCTCTCTGGGCGCCTAACCAGTTACATATATCCCCCATCTGGGCGCTTAACCAGTCACATATATCCCCCATCTGGGCGCTAAACTAGTGAGATATATCCCCTCTCTGGGCGCTCAACCAGTCAGATATATCCCCCATCTGAGCGCTCAACCAGTCAGATATATCCCCCATCTGGGCGCTCAAACAGTCACATATATCCCCCATCTCGGCGCTCAAACAGTCACATATATCCCTCATCTGGGCGCCTAAACAGTCACATATATCCCCCATCTGGGCGCCTAACCAGTCACATATATCCCCCATCTGGGCGCTTAACCAGTCACATCTATCCCCCATCTGGGCGCCTAACCAGTCACATATATCCCCCATCTGGGCGCTCAACTAGTCAGATATATCCCCTCTCTGGGCGCTCAACTAGTCAGATATATCCCCTCTCTGGGCGCTCAACTAGTCAGATATATCCCCCATCTGGGCGCTCAACCAGTCAGATATATCCCCCATCTGGGCGCTCAACCAGTCACATATATCCCTCATCTGGGCGCCTAACCAGTCACATATATCCCCCATCTGGGCGCCTAACCAGTCACATATATCCCCCATCTGGACGCCTAAACAGTCAGATATATCCCCCATCTGGGCGCTCAACCAGTCACATATATCCCCCATCTGGGCGCCTAAACAGTCACATATATCCCTCATCTGGGCGCCTAACCAGTCACATATATCCCCCATCTGGGCGCCTAACCAGTCACATATATCCCTCATCTGGGCGCCTAACCAGTCACATATATCGCCCATCTGGGCGCCTAACCAGTCACATATATTCCCCATCTGAACGCCTAAACAGTCAGATATATCCCCCATCTGGGCGCCTAAACAGTCAGATATATCCCCCATCTGGGCGCCTAAACAGTCAGATATCCCCCATCTGGGCACCCAACCCATTAGATATATCCCCCATCTGGACGCTCAACCAGTCAGATATATTCCCCATCTGGACGCCCAATCAGTCAGATATATCCCCCATGTGGACGCTCAACCAGTCAGATATATCCCCCATCTGGACGCCCAACCAGTCAGATATATTCCCCATCTGGACGCTCAACCAGAGTATCCCTATCAAATACCGAGTAGAACACATTTGAATCACCCGTCAAGCAAACCAAACACATAGCAAAGCAAACAATAACATAATCCGTGAGACATAATTTAGAACACAATAGTATATACTCCCAGTGTGCCTTTGTGATCCGATAACATACATAAAACATATCACTATAAGCATATGCAAAAAAATAAAGCTGATTTTGGTACATCTTGGAATATAAAATCTTTTCATATATGAAAATATAGCATTTAAAAACTCCACATAACTCCACATAAAAAAGCCACGGGAAACACAAAAGCTCTGTTCCGAGGTGATATATATATAGTTTATACCATCACACGGTCATAGTGCAGCAGTCAAACCGGTGGTCGATAGTATGAGCATGAAAGCACCCTTTAGGGGTATGACGTCACACTAAACCAGACAGAGTGTCCTTCCGCAAAGCGATCTCAGGGCCAAGACCACCGTTACTCCCATACCTCTTTGTGTCGAACTCGTGGGGACCTTGAAAAAGGTTCGAGTTATCCGGTGTTCGAGACAACAGAGTGAATTTAAGAAAATCAAACATCATGTTATGAGAGATTGTGTTCGAGTCATCAGGGGAATTCTATTCTTAATTTGGCTACTTGTGATAATTTGGATACACCCAACAACAGGGAATTCGACACATCCCGTTCCACAGACACGAGTATAAACGATTATAAATGTAGAAGGAATTCGTGGGGACCTGAAGGTGAGTTCGAGACAGCCGGGAATTCGACACATCAAAGTTCGACACGAGGGTTTACTGTCTATAACGGTGGCCTGTACATGATGGAGTCTGAGCCTGGATTGTTGTAATGAGATGTAAATGAGGTATCTAAAACTTGAATCACTGAAAATAAAATAATGTAAAGAATTAAATTTGAATTTGTTAAAATAGCAATGAATGTAAAGAATTACATTTGAATTTGTTTAAATATCAATGGAAACAAATGATATGACACACGTAAAACATTAAAGCTCAGAACATAATAGACGTATTCAATAAACTCATCAAAGGTCAACACACAAAAAAACACTTCTTTTTCGCTTGGTTTACGGATCTACTGACCTCATTTTCGAAAATATTATAAATAAACATTATGAAATCAGAATGAAAGTTTCTTTATACCGCCGACGGTAAAGAACGCTTTGACAAAAAAAATAATGATAATGACATGCCGCCGTCACTTGTTGGATTTATTATAATAGTTATAAGGACCCCACCCGGCCAGGACTTTACCTTGATCATTTATCAATTCCGAATCGAACTTTAGAATGATGACACAAATACCTATACAACACATTTGTTTGTTTTTTCGACCTACCTACCATATTTTTCACTTTCAAAATCCGTCCAAAAAACTACAAAAAATCTGGCCTTATACGGAACACAACCATCAAGGTGAGGTGACCCGTCCACATATAGTTTTGTTTGTTTGTTAGTTTGATTGTTTGTTTGTTTGTTGTTTAACACCGCACCCAGCAATATTCCAGCTATATGACGGCGGTCTGAAAAAAATCGAATCTGGACCAGACAATCCAGTGATTGACATCATGAGCATCGACGTACGCAATTGGGATCGATGACATGCATCAACTAAGTGAGTGAGCCTGACCACCCGATCCCGTTAGTCGCCTCTTATGACAAGCATGGGCTCCTGAAGACAAATTCTAACCTGTAATCTTCACGGGACTCAAGATACAGCGTTGTTTGAGAACACGCGTGCAATATATAACAAACGTTTGACAAGGTTGCGATCGTTAGGTTATTTCTGGCGGCTTGAAACAATATTTGTTATTTCATGTAACTGAATGCACTGGTTTTCATCTTATTTACTTTTTGGAGTCGACAGATTCGTAAACTCATTTTAAAAAGGGCTCCTGCTAAAAGATTATTTGCATACGTTAAAAGCTTGGACACAGCGTATGATGCACGTGTATGCAATCAGTTTATATCTTTGGTGTACCTCCATTCGTTGCTGCGCATGAAAGCTGCTAGAGGAGGGAATGAGTTAGTTTATCCAAGCGAAAACACCACCAGGGAATCGAGAAACACGATTTGCACGTGCACGCCACAGCAGGTGTGTATAAATATACCGACCCGTAAATGACTGAACGTCGCACTTCATACATATTCATTAAAGTCAATTCGTACGGTGTAGAAATCAAGAAGCGCTCATACAATATACTTTCAGTAACGCCACGAAAATAAATATATACAATAGTATACAATTCTATAATTGCACATGGTATCTCAAAAACTCATCACATGGAAATGATCAACCTGAAATCCAATAAATATTATATATCTCTTTCACGTCGTCAGTACCATTTTTCTAGAAGCACATAAACATTCACCGTTAACACGTTTTGAAAAATAAATCAGCCGTGATCAAATCTCCCAGTGTGTTCAGATAACTTTTTTGGGAGTGAGTGAGTGAGTTGTGTTTAACGCCGCTTTTGACAGTATTCCAGTTATATCACAGCGTGTCAGCTTAATGTGAGAGGAAAGCCCGAAGAGATGCAGGTCTCAGACGTTTACCACTTCGGTGAAACCCACGAGTGGGGTATGGTGCTGACAAACCTAGAAACATAATCGGGGCGAACCGGGATTCGAACCCACAATCATAGGTTTCTGGCGTGCCAAAGGGACGCAACTCTGCACAGCGAATCGCGGCGCCTGAGACGACGTGGCCACAGTTTTTTTGGAGTTAAAGAGGTACTTTGTTTTTCACAAAAGACAGGGTCTTGTAGTAGGAGTCATCAAAAGACCGCCGTCCTAGATACTCGTCCCTCGTTCTGTTATAATGAAGCTCCTCCATGCAATCTAAGGCATAGGGTTGGTAGTCCCAGTAGAACTTGTTCGTAAACAACTCTGGCCGTGACCTCAATAACGGAAGGTCACCGATTCCAAATATGCAAATAAGGCGCACGCGTTGTCCTTCACACGGCCAATCAAAAGGCTCGTTGCCCCAATTTTTAAACCGTGCAAGGAATGGTTTTATCACTCGGTCTGTTTCTGGGTTCCCTGAAAAAAAATCATCAATAATTATGATAAATGCTATTAGAAAATATAACAATTTTTATATTTTATATGATTAAGTCAAAATACATTCTTTGATGATGTTAAGCTGAAAAAACATATGAAATTATCACAATAAGCCAACTCGATTATTTAAAATCATACATGTACGTTAATTGCATTCTGTTGCGGGGAAGGACGTCGGTCAACAGTGTCCATTAATTCGACTAGTTCGTCCATTAGTTCGACTCCGAGCTAGTTCATTGAGAGCTATACATGTTTAGCCAACACAGTCATCCACTCACTCACTTGCTCGCTCATGCACATGCAATAATTGTGCGTTTTATGTTGTGAGTGTGATGATATTTTTTAAGCTGTATCAAAGGGGCATGTATAGATTGAGCATGTGCAGTGTCGCCAGGATCAACTGATCAACTAAATCAAAGGGCCCAGTCAGAGGACATGATGGTCTTCGAGTTCGAATTCCTAATTATTCATCGGACACGGTTAATTAACTACAAAACCATTGAACCAAAAATATTGAAAAAAGACATGAGATACGTAGTTTTTTTTCGTTTTGCGCCTATTGATGTGAAGCCCCACTCACGTCCTGTTGCTGAAACGACTTAGGAAATAACAGGGAGATAACTCTTGACGGTATAAATAGAGAATCTCACCCTCGTGTCTTTTGATATCAAATATATCAACACGAGTTGATAAAAGTGGAAAAATTCCGAGGCTTGCCGAGGATTTTTGCCACTTTTATCAACGAGTGTTGATATATTTGATATCAAAAGACACGAGGGTGAGATTTTATTTATCATCCAACATCATTCTTTTAACTTTTTCAATTTGTAGACAATAATTAGCAGTGTCTTCAGTGTAAAAAGTACTGCAAACAGCTTGAGTAGCAGAGCCATTAGTGATGTCATTTGATTGTGACGCCATGGTAACCAGTGACGTCACAATGGTCTGCAAAGCATTGTGATGTAATTTCTGCAGCGATATCTACAGTGTAGATATCGCTTGATCTCATCCATGCGATATCTCCTGTTGGAGCCAGTTTTGGATGATAAATTCGGCGTATCGCCAAGCACATATCGATAATGAAAATGTCGTAGTATGTCATCAATGACATTGAGTGAGTGAGTTGGGTTTAACGCCGGTTTTAGCAGTGCAACAGTTTTATCACGGCGTGTCAGCTTAATGTGGGATGAAAGCCCGAAGTGATGCAGGTATCAGACGTTTACCACTTCGGTGGAACCAACGAGTAGGGGTATGGTGCTGACAAACCTAGAAACTTAAACGGGGCGAACCGGGATTCGAACCTACAATCATAGGCTCCTGGTGTACCAAAGGGACGCAACTTTGCACTAACGACTGTGACATCCGTGCCCCCTATCAATTACAGGCTAAGCATCTTGATAGAATAAAAAACTGATGTAAACAACTGCACATTTCTCTGGATCCACCATTTTCAATATCGTTTAGATTTTACATGCATATTTAAAACAGCTTGAAGTCCCAAAGATGTTTGACAGAATATGCAATATTTTTTCGGCAGAAGCATTATCTACATCACACATTGCTATAAGTCTAACGCTATTTTTCAGGGCATTATCATTTGCAGAAGCCCGAGGTCTTCCATTAACTGCCCGACGAAGGAGGGCGGTTGAAAAGACCGAGGGCTTCTGCAAATGATAATGCCCTGAAAAATAGCGTTACCGTTATTATAGCCAAAAATGGATGGAATTTGTTATCAGATCAAAGAAACAACAATATCCGTTTCGAAACATTTACTGCAATCAACACGAATGACACTGACCCACTTGTACAAATATGGAAACGTCAGAAAACAAACCAGATGACGTCACTATTGAACATGACGTCACCTATCCCTATCCTATGACGTCATCTAACAACGGGAGTGATAATGGCCCGTCGTCAAGCAATATGAGGGCATTATCAAGTTACAGTGGTCCGCTCATTTCCGATAACATGCGGGCGGTTTAATGATAATTCTATCCATTTTAGCTATAATACCTAGTAACGTTCTAGCCCCCAAACTACCTGACAAACATATGTGAACGATGTCAATGCGGTATGGGTGGGATTGCCGTCCCTGTCGTCGTAATTCGCTCTGCATAGTTGCAGACCGCTGACCATGAGTTTGAATCCCTGAAGATTATGATCCTTGGTTTGTCTGCACCATTACTGTCAACTAATGGTTATACTTTACATTACTGGTTCGAAAACAATGTTCCATGTGTTGCGGCCTAAGAGGCGAACCAACCACCATAATACCATACCTAAATATGCCCCTGGTACACGAAGATGAGCGTTGTGATTGAGCGATGTGAAAAACGTCTCGTCGGGTACTTCGACTTTTTTCACCCACGACAGAAAGTCCTGGGCCGTCTTGTTGTGCAGAACGTAGTCCACAAACCCCCTGTTGACCACGATGTGCACGGAGCCCTTGACCGGTGTGATGCCATGAGGGGGGTCCCCGGCCTTTTGGAATCTCCCTGTGTTAGCTCTGAAATATAACACAGCGTTCATCATCAGAATATTCTCTTTTACAGACCCCAGGGCATATATATAGTAAAACATTCACCCCATTTCCCTTTCTACCTACCTACCTACCTACCTACCTACCCACCCACCCACCCACCCACCCACCCACCTACCTACCTACCTACCTACCTACCTACCTACCTACCTACCTACCGACACCTTAATTTAAATGGAGCACTGGATATATTATTTTCTCAGGTTCTTGATGCTGAAGTTGTATGAAGAGATTTCTTACATGTAATAAAATATTCAGGATTTTACAATTTAGAGTGGAGAACTGCAAAACATGAAAATAATCTCAGATTATTGAGGAGATATAAAACAGATCGCTCTAGGAGGTATTATTGTATAACGAGGAATAGATATAAACTATTTGTCGTGAGTAGAGTACTTGAAATGAAATCAAAGAAAGCAAAGAACTTAAAAGCAGTGCTCTAATTTGCCAAAGGATTTTCATGACATTTGGAAATCAAGTATTATACACAACAACACAAGCAATGGTACGTGGTTTGATTAATTTAGCAATGTTTCCTTTGGTGATTCCACGTATGATATAGATTTAAACCTAAACCATGTATAGATTGATCCACCTCATCCAAATATACATTGATCCACCTCATCCAAGTATACATTGATCCACCTCATCCAAGTATACATTGATCCACCTCATCCAAGTATACATTGATCCACCTCATCCAAGTATACATTGATCCACCTCATCCAAGTATACATTGATCCACCTCATCCAAGTATACATTGATCCACCTCATCCAAGTATACATTGATCCACCTCATCCAAGTATACATTGATCCACCTCATCTAAGTATACATTGATCCACCTCATCCAAGTATACATTGATCCACCTCATCCAAGTATACATTGATCCACCTCATCCAAGTATACATTGATCCACCTCATCCAAGTATACATTGATTCACCTCATCCAAGTATACATTGATTCACCTCATCCAAGTATACATTGATCCACCTCATCCAAGTATACATTGATCCACCTCATCTAAGTATACATTGATCCACCTCATCCAAGTATACATTGATCCACCTCATCCAAGTATACATTGATCCATCTCATCCAAGTATACATTGATCCACCTCATCCAAGTATACATTGATCCATCTCATCCAAGTATACATTGATCCACCTCACCCAAGTATACATTGATCCACCTCATCCAAGTATACATTGATCCACCTCATCCAAGTATACATTGATTCACCTCATCCAAGATCCACCTCATCCAAGTATACATTGATCCACCTCATCCAAGTATACATTGATTCACCTCACCCAAGTATACATTGATCCACCTCATCCAAGTATACATTGATCCACCTCATCCAAGTATACATTGATCCACCTCATCCAAGTATACATTGATCCACCTCATCCAAGTATACATTGATCCACCTCATCCAAGTATACATTGATCCACCTCATCCAAGTATACATTGATCCACCTCATCCAAGTATACATTGATCCACCTCATCCAAGATCCATAATCTCAGATTATTGAGGAGATATAAAACAGATCGCTCTAGGAGGTATTATTGTATAACGAGGAATAGATATAAACTATTTGTCGTGAGTAGAGTACTTGAAATGAAATCAAAGAAAGCAAAGAACTTAAAAGCAGTGCTCTAATTTGCCAAAGGATTTTCATGACATTTGGAAATCAAGTATTATACACAACAACACAAGCAATGGTACGTGGTTTGATTAATTTAGCAATGTTTCCTTTGGTGATTCCACGTATGATATAGATTTAAACCTAAACCATGTATAGATTGATCCACCTCATCCAAATATACATTGATCCACCTCATCCAAGTATACATTGATCCACCTCATCCAAGTATACATTGTTCCACCTCATCCAAGTATACATTGATCCACCTCATCCAAGTATACATTGATCCACCTCATCCAAGTATACATTGATCCACCTCATCCAAGTATACATTGATCCACCTCATCCAAGTATACATTGATCCACCTCATCCAAGTATACATTGATCCACCTCATCCAAGTATACATTGATTCACCTCATCCAAGTATACATTGATTCACCTCATCCAAGTATACATTGATCCACCTCATCCAAGTATACATTGATCCACCTCATCTAAGTATACATTGATCCACCTCATCCAAGTATACATTGATCCACCTCATCCAAGTATACATTGATCCATCTCATCCAAGTATACATTGATCCACCTCACCCAAGTATACATTGATCCACCTCATCCATGTATACATTGATCCACCTCACCCAAGTATACATTGATCCACCTCATCCAAGTATACATTGATCCACCTCATCCAAGTATACATTGATCCATCTCATCCAAGTATACATTGATCCACCTCACCCAAGTATACATTGATCCACCTCATCCAAGTATACATTGATCCACCTCATCCAAGTATACATTGATCCACCTCATCCAAGTATACATTGATCCACCTCATCCAAGTATACATTGATCCACCTCATCCAAGTATACATTGATCCACCTCATCCAAGTATACATTGATCCACCTCATCCAAGTATACATTGATCCACCTCATCCAAGTATACATTGATCCACCTCATCCAAGTATACATTGATCCACCTCATCCAAGATCCACCTCATCCAAGTATACATTGATCCACCTCATCCAAGTATACATTGATCCACCTCATCCATGTATACATTGATCCACCTCATCCAAGTATACATTGATCCACCTCATCCAAGTATACATTGATCCACCTCATCCAAGTATACATTGATCCACCTCATCCAAGATCCACCTCATCCAAGTATACATTGATCCACCTCATCCAAGTATACATTGATCCACCTCATCCAAGTATACATTGATCCACCTCATCCATGTATACATTGATCCACCTCATCCAAGTATACATTGATCCACCTCATCCAAGATCCACCTCATCCAAGTATACATTGATCCACCTCATCCAAGTATACATTGATCCACCTCATCCAAGTATACATTGATCCACCTCATCCAAGTATACATTGATTCACCTCACCCAGTATACATTGATCCACCTCATCCAAGTATACATTGATCCACCTCATCCAAGTATACATTGATCCACCTCATCCAAGTATACATTGATCCACCTCATCCAAGTATACATTGATCCATCTCATCCAAGTATACATTGATCCACCTCATCCAAATATACATTGATCCACCTCATCCAAGTATACATTGATCCACCTCATCCAAGTATACATTGATCCACCTCACCCTAGTATACATTGATCCACCTCATCCAAGTATACATTGATTCACCTCATCCAAGTATACATTGATCCACCTCACCCTAGTATACATTGATCCATCTCATCCAAGTATACATTGATCCACCTCACCCTAGTATACATTGATCCATCTCATCCAAGTATACATTGATCCACCTCATCCAAGTATACATTGATCCACCTCATCCAAGTATACATTGATCCACCTCATCCAAGTATACATTGATCCACCTCATCCATGTATACATTGATCCACCTCATCCAAGTATACATTGATCCACCTCATCCAAGTATACATTGATCCACCTCACCCTAGTATACATTGATCCACCTCATCCAAGTATACATTGATCCACCTCACCCTAGTATACATTGATCCACCTCATCCAAGTATACATTGATCCACCTCATCCAAGATCCACCTCATCCAAGTATACATTGATCCACCTCATCCATGTATACATTGATCCACCTCATCCAAGTATACATTGATCCACCTCATCCAAGTATACATTGATCCACCTCATCCAAGTATACATTGATCCACCTCATCCAAGTATACATTGATCCACCTCATCCAAGTATACATTGATCCACCTCATCCAAGTATACATTGATCCACCTCATCCATGTATACATTGATCCACCTCATCCAAGTATACATTGATCCACCTCATCCAAGTATACATTGATCCACCTCACCCAAGTATACATTGATCCACCTCATCCAAGTATACATTGATCCACCTCATCCAAGTATACATTGATCCACCTCATCCAAGTATACATTGATCCACCTCATCCATGTATACATTGATCCACCTCATCCAAGTATACATTGATCCACCTCATCCAAGTATACATTGATCCACCTCACCCTAGTATACATTGATCCACCTCATCCAAGTATACATTGATCCACCTCATCCAAGTATACATTGATCCACCTCATCCAAGTATACATTGATCCACCTCATCCATGTATACATTGATCCACCTCATCCAAGTATACATTGATCCACCTCATCCAAGTATACATTGATCCACCTCATCCAAGTATACATTGATCCACCTCATCCAAGATCCACCTCATCCATGTATACATTGATCCACCTCATCCATGTTTACATTGATCCACCTCATACAAGTATACATTGATCCACCTCATCCAAGTATACATTGATCCACCTCATCCAAGTATACATTGATCCACCTCATCCAAGTATACATTGATCCACCTCATCCAAGTATACATTGATCCACCTCATCCAAGTATACATTGATCCACCTCATCCAAGTATACATTGATCCACCTCATCCAAGATCCACCTCATCCATGTATACATTGATCCACCTCATCCAAGTATACATTGATCCACCTCATCCAAGTATACATTGATCCACCTCACCCTAGTATACATTGATCCACCTCATCCAAGTATACATTGATCCACCTCATCCAAGTATACATTGATCCACCTCATCCAAGTATACATTGATCCACCTCATCCATGTATACATTGATCCACCTCATCCAAGTATACATTGATCCACCTCATCCAAGTATACATTGATCCACCTCATCCAAGTATACATTGATCCACCTCATCCAAGATCCACCTCATCCATGTATACATTGATCCACCTCATCCA